GGAGGGGTACAATCGTGGATTCCCAACACGACAGTTTGCACCGTTCGTTCGGCTTTGCCGTTCCCTTGTGAACGGTAAGCCATTGTCGCGCTCTGCCTCATTTTCACGATCCGGTCGAAGGCACGGAAGAAGTCCGACATAAAGCTCGGTTCCTGTCATGTCCGATGACTTCGCTTGCGCCGAAACGACGGAAGACGCATTCCTCGTAATTCTCAGCTACTGCCTGCGCCTCTCTCGACGGGCCAGCATTGGCTATTACGTAACCGGTGAATAAGTCGGCCCAAATCAGCAGTTCGGTATTTCCTTTGAACGATTTTGGCAACGACGGAATGTGGTCCATGGAGATCACCTGGAAGGGGTATGTACCCTGGATACTTCCTGGTGATTCTCCCTGACCCGTTGGCTTTCCCTTCCAATCGGTGCATTTTCCCACGTAGTGTTGTACACTTCGATACAGCCCACGCGAGTGGAAGTTCGCTTGGATCCTCCGGTACGTCCTCCCGACGCCTTGATGACATCCCTCAAGACTGGCATGATAATGGTGAAGGAAGTCTCGCTGTAAGCAGTCGGGTATCACCATCCTGACGACACCGTCGCGATCTTCGCCTTGCTGCAGTGTCTTGGGGCAAAAGAAGAGTATCCTGTTCTCGTCTACTTCGTAATTCACGACTATTTTCGAGCATGCCTTCGCCTTTTCTGCTGTCAAGGCACCCACTTCCCCGTCGAGGTACTTCTTCAGATCTGCAATCCCACTTCTCTTCATCCTGAGCTTGCCAAATCCTCTGACATCGTATGTGCTGTATGATAAATTCTTCCATCGCTTTCGGGGTGCGTCGTTGCCTCTCAGCGGCTCGCGTGATTGCGTTTACGCTGACGACTATCTCGATCAACATTGGCTTCAGCATTCCGCCTAGTCGGTTGAGGGTGATCAAGTTCTGACGATCGTCCTCTGAGGTGACTATTTCGCCTTCTTCTCGTTGCAGTGTCGCTCTTGCCAACTTGTCCGCACTCTGATTCCATTCACGCTTCACGTGAAGGAACTCGTGCTTCGGCCACGACCGTAGTCGATTCAGCGCATTCTGTCGGAGCAGTTGCAGGCCTGGTGCTTTGCACTCCATCTCACTCTGCATCTGACGAATCACCAAGTTCGAGTCTCCACAAAGTACGACGCGCCCCTTGTCTAAGGTCGAGATCAAATCGAAACCAAGAATCAGTCCACGGTATTCCGCCTCGTTCACTGTTAAGTCCGGCATGTACTCCGACATGGCTTCCACCACCGTCCACTCCGGGAGTTTCCACACGACTGCACTATACGCACCGCCGCTGCGCTTCACTCGCGCAGATCCGTCGAAACTCACCACCAAGAGGTTCTCGTCCGGTTCGATCGTGGGTGGAGGCATGGTGATTTTTTTCGTGGCTGCTTCTTAGGTGCTATCGCAACTAGGGCTTCATCGACATCAGCTCGGGGAGTGATGCTAGCTGCGATTGTTCCAAGGATTGCGTCTTCACCCTTTACACATTTGGTGACTTCCAACGTCCACCCTGATAGCAGCACTGCCCACCTACCCAACCGACTGTCGTCGTCGAACCCGTTCGACTTGAGCAACCAGGCCAATGTCTAGAATCGTGACAAGACCTTGATCGATCTGGTAACCAGCTGCGAGTAACAGACGTCCAAAATTCGCAGAAGCGCCAATACCTCTTTATCCACCACTCCATAGTTGAGCTCGTTTGCCTTCAGCGTGCGACTGGTGAAGGTCACTGGATGGTACACATTTTTGTATTCCTGCATCAATGCCGCTGATATGTCCCACTTGTTCGCGTAAAGCACGATAACAGGAGTGCGTTCTGGGTCGAAGTGCTTCAGGACCGGCGTGGCAATAATCTTCGCCTTCGGCATGGTGAAAGCGTTCTTCCCCTTCGCCCACCTGTCACGCTCGCCCCCAGTTAATTGACCATCCTCGGCCTGCGTCTCCTCTGCGTCCATCTTGGCGATTTCATGGAAGGCTGCTTCCCGCAGCTCGTACAAGATCGCGGTATAGACTGTGAAGTCCTCAATGAAGTGGCTGTAATAGTTCAAGCTTCCGAGGAACGACTGCATCGCCTTCAACTTGGTGGGGAACAGGAGGTTGGCGATTGCGTCGAACTCCTTCGGTTTCACTTCAAGCCCAGCTGAAGATACTTCGTGTCCTAGATACGCTACCTTGCGTAGACCCCAGTAGCTCTTGGCTACGCTGATCGACAAGTTCCACCGATCACAAACATCGAGCAGTTTGCCGACCCGGTTGCACATGCTATCCCACGAGTCGCCCGTCACAAGGAGGTCATCCACATACGACCTTGTCCCGAGGACCGACGGCTTAGGTTCCGGCTCCGGCTCTCCTTCCTCGAAGACATCAACAGGGCTCGATCTATCTTGATTGAGCTTGATGCTCATGTGGCCATGCAACGCGTTGTCGACGATTCGTTGGTAAATCTGATGAGCGTTCTTTAACCCGAACGGCATCCTCGTCCCCTCGAACAACCCGAACGGTATGATGAACGCTGACACCAGCTTTGCTCGCGGTGTCATTGACACCACCCAGAAGTCACTAGCCATATCGAGGGAACCGTACCAGAGCGCCTTGTCCAAGTCTTCGAGGAGGTCGTTGATCAACGGCATGGGGTACACCATCAACCTCTTAAGGCTGTTCACCACCTGGTAATCAATGCAGAGGCGAATGTCAACCCCGTTAGCCTTGATGATAACTACGATGGGTGACGCCCAAGGTGAGGTGGAGGTGGTGATGATCTTTGCCGACAGCAGTCCCTTGATGAACATGGACACCTTCTCGCGGAATTGTGGCGCTACCCGTCGACATCGCTGAGATACCGGCTTTGTCGTTCCGACATCAATGTCGCAAATAGCCCCGAAGGCGGCCGGTGGGAAGGCGTTACCAGCTCCGATCAGCAAGTGGCGTCGCTTCCAGATGATGCGACGCAGTCGCTCGCGTTCCCTCGGGAGTGCTCGCTGATTGACTGAACTGCGAGCAGTAGTAGCTGATGAACTTGTCATTCAGCAAACTCCACGTGTGTTTCGTCTTTCGAGATAAAGCTCTGTGCCAGTGAACGGCACCGTCCCTGAGACTCAGTTGGAAGGCCATGCACCATTCGTTGGGAGGTGTGTGCGTACCTTTCATCTCATACACAAAACCTCTCAACCAC